ATCTATCTATCTATCTATCTATCTATCCATCTATCTATCTATTTATCATCTTTCTTCATCATCATCATCATCATCATAATCATCATCATCATCTATCTCATCTCTCCATCTTTTTACCTAATGTATGTATATCTGAAGGATATTATACAGATACTTCCACATCTGTGCTTATTATTTCACTATTCAAAATAGACAAAAAATGGAACCAGTCTAGATGTCCATCAAGAATTAAGTAGAATATGGGGTTGGAGAGCTGGCTCACTGGTTAAGATCACTGACCGCTCTTGCAGACAGAGGATCCGGATTCATTTCCCAGCATGCACACGGTAACCAAGAACCATCCTACTCCAGTTCCAGGGAAATCTGATGATTTCTTCTAACCTCTGTGGGCATTGCAGGATATGGGTGCACTTACATACATGCAGGTAATACATGCATACATATAAAAATGTTTTTAAGAATTAAGTAGGATAAAGAAAATGTACTATACACAATGAAATTTTATATAGCCATAAAGAAAAATGAAATCATGAACCTTGTAAGAAAATGGATAGAACTAGAAATCAATATGTTAAACCTAACAAGCCAGACTTAGAAAAAAACCCCAAATGTTTCCTCTCATATATGTGATGTGAATTTAAAATTATATCTATGTGAATATATGTGTTAATTTTCTGTTTCAAATCACTTCTTTAGCAGAATATATATTCTAAAAGTTGCACTGACTTCAGTTTGTTTAACAATAACTCAAGTTCCCTTTCCATGACAGAATGGGTTTATTATACTATGTATTATGTGTATATCATGTATTATGTATATAATATGCATTATGTGTACTTTCTTCCTAATTTGGACATAAGATTATTTTTCTTGTGACCCTATAGGTACACACAGCTTAAAAATTGAGAAAGATAAGCAACCTCATCCATTTGACAAGAAACTTAAAGACAAGGAATTTGGATATTCTCTTAAGGATTTGTATTCTGCTTTTTCGGTAAAGCAAAATATTTTTGTTAATATGCAAATTAAGTTGACTTATTCAATTTTCTTTGAGTTGAGAAAATGACATAAACTATTCCATTTAAATTCGAGTAAAAGTTTTGAAATCTTAATTACTAGTTTTCATTGGAATGGAATGGAAGAGCCACTTATGTGATGCATCTCCAAGGGCTTGGTAGCTTGTAAGACTCTTGATACCAAGACTTTAATTTTGATTCCTTTTAAAAAAGTGTTGCTTTCATATATTTTGTGTTTATTTTCTCTGAAGATATATGACATTTAATAAGATGACATGTTTCAGCATTTTTATCTTTAAATAAGTTGGAAGAACTCCAGATGTCAAAACATATTCCCACAAACATTATATTTGGCAGAAAATATCACAAGACCAATTAGGTAGCTGTTAATTTTCCCCAAGATAAGACTGCCACTACTGTACCAGTGACATATGCTGTGCTAGCCACTTATATGGTTGTTTGGTCTTGAAGCTGGTGTTGGATCATCCATTGTTGTTTTCCCTTGGCACCTTCAGAGCTCTCTCCACTGCTATGAAAGCTAGCCTTCAGGGGAAGTGGTTTCAGGTCAGTTGCAGCTACATTACTCCAAATCCTGTGTCTGAACTATGTTCTGTCTTCAGAAGTAGAGTCTTACCTTCAAGTTCTGGGAGGCAATCAAAACTGGCCAAAGCCTGAGTTATTTGGGGGTGTCTCTTGGACCACCTTGGCCAAAGGAAGTTTTCTCCTGTCTGGAACTGTTTCTTGTTATGTAGCAGTTAGCTATACACATGGACTCGTGCAGAGATAATGAATATGTAATTTGTCATTAGGTTTTGAGGAAATTCAAGTGTGTTACTGTCAACATAACTGAATACACATGGCTGGAGTGATCATAGATCTTAGAGAAAACCCTAAGGTGGTCACATAGCAGACTAACATGATTTCTTACTGACTGCAAAATATATATCCTTAATTTACAGATAAATATCCCACTGACCACTCATCAAAGAAGCTCATTTTGCACCAGTCAGAGACTGTTACCAAGTACCACAACTGGTCACACATGGCCATTTTCTATGAATTGCCCAGGCCTAAGTGACACATCTACAATGCAACCTCTACACCTAAGATTCATGGAACATACATATAAAAATGTTTTTAAGAATCAAATAGGATAAAGAAAATGTACATATACACAATGAAATTTTATATAGCCATAAAGAAAAATGGAATAAGATTCATAGAAGAGGGGTAAAGAAGAGGACACTAATGAATCTCTCAGTTCTCAATAATGAATCTTCCTCATGCAACAGAGGGCCAGAAACACAAAAGGTTACAAATAGCTGAAGTGTAGAGAGCAAGAGTCCGCGTTGGTCCTTGGACAAGACTCTTTTATTAAACTTCACCCACCCAAGGCTCAGGGACCATCATGGAAGAGGGGGCAGAAAGATTGTAAGAGCCAGGGAGGAGGTGCATGACCATATGGAAACAGAGTCCTACAGATTCCATGGAACCTGCTCATATGATTCTATGGCAATAGTGTCAGCATACACAAGTCCTATGCAAACTCAGGCAAACAAAAACTCAGCATAAAACTTGAAAAATGAACAGCAGACCCCAATCTTATCTGAAGAAATATTGGCAACTGATTGCTTCTAGGTGAAGAAGAACTGATGTTTCTAAAACAAGGGGCTCTAGATAGGCTGATTAGACCTCAGTGGATGGATTTGCAATGGGGAATGGCTGAAGACACTGATAATACAGTGGGCCTTAACAGGGATGACAGAGTATATGGGCTCCAATGGTGGGGCCATGGGAGTGTGCCAGGGGGGATGGTGGTATAAAGATGATTAAGATTGTTTGAGATGTTCTGTATGAAATCCACAAAAAATTAATGAAAACATTTTTTTTAAATACCACAAGACCAAATACATAATTCTTTGTTTCACTAACTAGAATAGGGCCTACAGCAGCAACAGGTACCAAGATCGTAGGGGGTAGGGGAGCAGGCTACTTCCAAAAGTGAGGTCCTACTTAGAATTTGTGTTTTCTTTTCCTACTTCTTACTGTATCTTGTGTGTTGATTTCATGATTTTATTTTTCACAGACAGTCTATTCATTTTACACTCTGAATAAAACTTTCAAGAACCCTCACAACAGCATCAATTGAATTTTCCTAACATCTTAGAATGTTATACCTGTTTTCCCTATTTCTGGTAATTTACTATTTTCTGGAAACATTATTGTTTTATCATTGCCGATATGTCTACTCAAAACATCCTTTTCTTTTCTCCATTACAAATAAACTTCTATATAGTTCATTACATAAAAACAGACAATTATAGGCAAAATGAGTCTTTCTTTTGTTTTAACTTTTCTAAAAAATAGGTGGCTTGTATACACATATATGCCATGCTCTTCTTTTCCACGTTTGACAGTTTCATACTTTTGTATAATGAATTTTAGTCATTCCCACCTCCCCATTTCCATTGGCCATCCCCCCCCACCACCATCACTGGAATCCTTCTCAACAAGCTCTTTCCTATTTCCATGTCTTCACTTTGTGAATGACCCAGAGATTATTTAGAGTTACTTTACAGAACATGTGAAAAGTTCTTCAAGGAATCAAGGGCAATTTATCTGTGGCTACATCACTGAAGAAAATAGCACCCCTCATACTAGTCATTAAATACTAGTAGTGCCCCTTGAGAGGTGGGGCCTCATGAGTCCCTTCCCTATCCACAATGAAACATTGATGGGCCCAATTCTGTGTAAGTCTCATGCAGATAACCATGACTGGAGCAAGTTAATGATTACATCAGCTACATCATTGAGTTTGTAGATTGCTTTTAGAAGGCCATTTTTGAAATATTAATCCCACCAATCCATGAGCATGATGGTCTTTTCATTCCCTAGTGTCTAATTTCTTGATCAATGCTATAAAGTTCTCATTGTAGAAGTTGTTTTTATCTCCTTGTTTAGGTTTATTACAAGATATTTTTGAGACTATTGTGAATGTGATTATTTCCCTGATTTTTTTTTTCTCAGTAAGTTTGTCATTGGTATACAGGAGGACTACTGGTTTTTGTATGTTGATTTTGTTACCTACTAGTTTGCAGAAAGTATTTATGAGCTTGAGAAATTTCCTGGTGGCATCTTTAAGGTCTTTTATGTAGAGAATCATGAACTCTACAAATAGGGACACTTCAAATTCTTACTTTTTTATTTGTACCTCCATTATTTCCTTATCTTGACTTACTGCTCTAGCTAAGACTTCAAGTACTTTAATGGATAGAAATGGGAAGAATGGGCATTCTTATGCTTTTTCTGATCTTAGTGAGAATGTTTTTAGTTTTCTCTGCTTAGTATTCAAGTTGGCTATTGTTTGTCAACAATAGTCTTTTTCTGTCATTTTGAGACAGCATCTCCCTGTGTCCCAAGTTGGCCTGGACCTCATTATGCAGAACAAACTGACCTCAGCCTCACAGAGATCCACCTGCCTCTGCCTGCCCAATACTAGGACTCCAGATGTGCACTACTACACCTGGATTATAGTCTTCATTACATTGAAATATGCTTCCTCTATCCATAATGTCTCCAGAACTTTTTTCATAAAGGGATGCTGGATTTTGTCAAAGGTCATTCCTGTAACTATTGAGATTATTATGTGATTTCTGTCCATGATTTCTATTTAGGTTATGAATTGCATTTATTGAATTAAATAAGTGGAATCAACACTGCATATGTGGATGGAAGGCAACTTTCTTGGTCCTGAGGTGTGTTTCTTGGAGGCAGCAAAAGGAAGCATCCTTTTTTTTCCCAAACCAACCTGCTATTATGTCCAATTACCAGAATAATAGTAGTAGGTTTTTCCTACATCACATATGTGTGATGTGTCTAGCAACAGATTCATAGGCTTGATATCAGTGTTGAGTATTGGCTCCATCTTATGAAGAGGACCTTAATTCTAGTCAGAAAATGCTTGGTACTCACATAATATTTGTGCCATTATTGCAAGAGCAGGCATATTATACCAGCCCATTATTATTGTAGCTCATAGAGTTCACAGCTGGGCAAGGTTGATGATTACCTTTCTCTCCCCATGGCATGAAACTTATTGCTTCATTGATTCGTTGTATTTTTTTTCTATTTCATTAAGTCCTGATTCTGATTGCCTCTTCTTGACTACTCTTTCTGAGTATTGTTCATTCTTGTATTTCTGTGGTCTTCAGGTGCACCATTAAGTTGTTAATATGATATGTGTCTAATTTTCTGATGTATGCACTTGATGCTAGAAACCTTCTTCTTAGGATTGTTTTTATTGTGTCCCTTAGATTTTGGTGTGGTGCATTTTTATTTTCATTGAGTTTTCAAATTTTTAAATTTACTTCTTGATTTCTTCCTTGACTCAGTTTTCATTCAGCAGTGTGTTGTTCAGTTTCCATGCATTTGTTTATTTTTCTGATTTCCATTGTTGATATCCAGCTTTATTCCTTTGTGGTCAGATATGACACAGGATGCTATTTCAATTTTCTTAAATTTGTTGACACTTGCTTTGTGTCCTAGTATATGATTGGTTTTGGATAAAGTTCCATGGATTGCTAAGAATAAAGTATTCTTTGGTGTTTGGGTGGACTATTCTGCAAATGTCTATTAGGTTCTTTGGATGTATGATGTCATTTAAGTCTAGGGTTTCTTGCTTTAGGTTTTTTTCTGAATGACCTGTCTGTTGGTGAGAGTAATGTTTTGACGTCACTGTGTTGGTGTCTTTCTGTGACTTTTAGATCTACAAGTGTTTCTTTTTTGAAATTGAATGTCCTTGTGTTTGGTGCATGTGTATATAGTATTGTAATTTCTTCTTGGTGGATTTTTCATTGAATGGTCACAAAATGTCCTTCTTTATCTCTTCTGACTAGTTTTACTTTGAAGTCTGTTTTGTTAGATATGAAAATAGCTACACCTTCTTGTTGCTTGGTTCCATTTTCTTGGGGTACATTTTGTCCATACTTTTACCCTAAGGTGGTGTCAGTTGTTAAGGTGAGGTGTGTTTTGTGGAGGCAGAAAACTGATGGTTCCCATGTTCTAATCCAATACTTTAGTCTGCATCTTTTTATTGGAGGAATTGAGACCATCAATATTGAGAGTTGTTACTGACCAGTATTTATTAACATCTGTTATTTTGTTGTGGTGGTGGTGTTTTCTTTTCACTTCTATTGGTTAACTGTTCTGGAATTTATCCTTGTGCTTTCCTGGGAGTTTTCAGTCTTCCCTTCAGAGTGAAGCATTCTTTCTAGTATCCTCTGTAGAGTTGGCTTAGTAGATACAAATTCTTTAAATCTACTTTTATCATTGAAAGTTTTCCTTTCTCCTCTTATGACTGATACTTTCGCTGGGTATAATATCCTGAGCTGGTATCTGTGGTCTTTAAGTATTTGTAGAGCATCAGGAAAAGCCTTCCTTGCTTTCAGAGTCTGTGTTGAAAAATCAAGTGTTACTCTGATAGACCTGCCTTTATATGTAATTTGATCCTTTACTCTTGCAGCTTTCAGTACCCTTTCTTTGTTTTTTATAATTAGTCTTTTGATTATTGTGTGACATGGGGAGTTTCTTTTCAGTTCCGGTCTATTTGGCTTTCCTTCAGAATTTCATTTCTTAAATTCTATTTCCATATTTTGAATTTTTCTCTTTATCACATTCAGCTGTTTCTTTGTGTCTTCTTGGTCTTTGTTCCAGAATTTATAATTGGTTGTGTTTCCTGGTATAGATATTTGCTCTCTTATTTGTTGAATTGGTATTTGGGTGCTTATTTGCTGTTACCTCAACATGTCAGGGTGTGGACCAGCAGAATGGTGCTTAGTGTTCAACACTGTGGTAATTCTGTGTTGATGTGCAGATGGGGGTTTCAGATGTGTCCCCCCCCCATACCTAGTAGGGGATATATGAACTTCTGAGGCCTGGAGCAAACCTTCTGTAGAGTTAATATATTCTCACTGACAATCTCCAGAAGACTGTGGATCTACAGTTCTACAGGTGATTCCTTTGTGGCAGGGGTCACAGTGGAAGGAAGCAGTATTTCCTAGGGACCACAGGGATGATGTCATATTGATGTCAGGTTGAGATGAATGAGGTGCAGGCCAGGTTGGAGGTCTCTAACTGGGCTCAAGTCTCAAGACCCTTCATTGTCTCTTGGTGCCATGTGGGTGAGGAAGTTGGCCAGGGTGGGGGAAGTCACACTCTAGCAGGGGAAGATTTCTAGGAATGCCTACCAAAGGTTGAAGTTAACAGGGAGTCATCCATGTGCTCCTGGCAATGATCCAGAACTAGTCTTGAAGCTCTGGGGTGATGGAAGGTGCGTGGAGGCAGCCTAACTGGGTCTCTGTTCCACATGGGGTCAGTGAAGAAACCCTGGATTGCAGCCAGCTGGGAGTGTGGGAATCCCAAAGGGAGAGCAGGGACCAGGAAGAAGTAGGGATCACTTGTTGGCAATGGCAGCAGGGCTTTGGGGTTTGTTGTTAATTTCACAAAAATCTTACCCATTTTTTATTTTAATCCTTGTCCAGGAAAATACATGCCAAGTGTTTCTTATATTTTAAAGGTTGTTTCTTCACTCTGATAACTGTTCTCCTTGTGGCATAGCAGCTTCTTGTTTATTTACTTTATTTTATTTTACTTTATTTTATTTTTTGGTCTTTTTGAGAAAGGGTTTCCCTGTAGCCCCAGCTGTTCTGGAGCTCACTATGTAGACCAAGCTGGCCTTGAACTCACAGAGATCTGCCTGCTTCTGCCTCCGGAGTGCTGGGATTAAAGGCGTGTGCCACCCCGCCTGGCTATTTTATTTTTTTAAAAATAACTTGATCATTTTTTGCTTTCATTTCCTGTGTTTTTGGAATCATATCCAAAAAATAATCATTAGCTATACTGATACAGTGTATCCCTTCTGTTTTAAGTAGATTCATAATTTCAGGTTTTACATTTATATTTTAGTCAGCTTTGTGCTGACTCTTCTATAGCATGAGGCAGAGTGTCTGGCTGCATGTGGACGTCTAGTTTTCCCACTGCCATTTATAGAAAAACCTGTTTTCTTCAGTGTGCACTTTTAGTTCCTTTATTAAGAATCAGTTGACTGTAGATGACTATGCTTATTGCTTGGATATGGATTCTGCTCACTAGGTTCTATGTCTGCTTTCCTTCAGTATTATGCTGCTTTGTGTATTGTGACTCTATAACATGTCTTGAAGCCAGGTACATTGATGTCTCCAGGTTTGTTGCTTGTGTTACAGATTAATTCAGCTAAGTGGAATCTTTTGCTACCTTATGATGTTATTACTGTTTTTAATAGCTCTGGAAATAGCATCATTGGTATTGCACTTGAGGTTGCAATGAAACTATCAATCACTTTTTGAAGTACAGATATTTTACCAATGTTAAGCCTTTCCTCTAATGATCATGTGTGATCTTGTCATGTTTTGTGTCCACTTCAATTCAATCACTGTTTTGTAATATTCATTACAGAGATACCTCACTTCCTAGGTTAAACTTGTTCCTAGGTATTCTCTTTTTAAAAATATCTTATTATTTTTATTTTATGTGTATGAGTGTATTGCCTGCCTGTATGTAAGTGTACCTGTGTCGTGCAATGCCGGTAGAGGTCAGAAAAGGGTGTTGGATTGCCCTGGAACTGCAGTTACAGATAGTTGTTAGCTTGCCAGTTGTTAGTTGCCTTGTGGTTTCTAGGAACCAAACTCAGGTCCTCTGCCAGAGCAGCCAGTGCTTTTAATTGCTGAGCCATCTATCCAGCCTCCTTAGGAATTTTCTTGATAGCTAGTCTGATTGAGAGTGATTCCATTATTTCTTTCTCAGAAAATGCACTGTATTGAAATGCTACTGATTTATAATTTGGTTTCATATTTTACAAATTTCCTGAATCAATGTGTCAGTTCTAATAGCCTTTCAGTTGAATTTAGGTTTGTCTATAGGTAAAATCATATAATCTTCAAGCAGGGATAATGTGACCTTGTGCTTTACTATTTGTATGGCTTTTATCTACATCTCACATAGGATTATGGACTAAAAACTAAGCATAAAACTATAATTCAAAAACTTATTTAACAGTGTTGCTTAAAAAAAATTTAAACTCAGTGCATCTGTATTAATGAAAATTGAAGTAAACTGAAAGATATATAATTCTAATTGACAAAATGGCAATGTCCATGTGTATGATATTTGGTTTAATAATCAATTACTTAAATGCAACTATAATCAATTATATGGAATGAATTTTATATTTTGACAAATAAATTGATCTAAAGTTCATATGATGAATAAAGTCACAAAGGAACTTTTAAAACAAACATCATTAGGGCATTCTAAAAGACCAGTGCAGCATTTCCTATGTATAGCCTCATAAATCAGAGTAGTAGAATACGGAACTCAGCAACTCATTATCCATGTACACACATAGTAATTGTTTGCTATATAATAATCAATGAGAGGGAAGTTGTTCAGTGTGTATGATAACAAATACCAGAATCCAACCTCATATTCTGTACACAGTTGCTTTCCATATTTACAAAGTGGTTTACATAAGAGAATATAGTTAATATTGAAAATAAAATTCATTTATAAAATAGAAGTGGAAAAACATATAAAAAGACATATTTATGAGAACAATTTGGACAAAAAATGAACTAAAATTATTAATATACCCAAATACTCAAATGATCCCATTCTATGGTAAGATACTTTGACATAAGACCTAATAGTTCACACATAAGAATTTTTAATGACATCATGTTTGTGATAGTATAGAGCTGAAATATTGTACTCTTATGGGCATGGATAAATATAGCAGAATCACATTGCAAAACTAGACAGCACTCAGCAGATGAGTTAGGTAAATATGCAAAATGTGATTGCGTCTAGTAAGACACAGAAGTTTTTCAGAAATATTTTCAACAAGTTCCCAGATTCAGAGATAAAAGTAGAGAAAGAATTAAAAATGCCTTCAAAGTACAAGTCTTTTATGGAATGCACCTCTATTAGTGAATCATATATTTCTTTGGCTATATAGATGCCTATTTTGAACGCTGATCATGAATATATGAATGACTACAAAGTAATTGTGGTATAACTCATTTCTCTTTCAGATTCTGGTGCATAATCCACTGCTGATGTTCCAAGCTATTTGCAAAGCTATAGAATCTCTAGCTTTTATTGGAGCTTCAGAATTTTTGCCTAAGTATTTAGAAAATCAATTTTTGTTAACACCCTCAATGGCAACTATGCTTACAGGTAGATTTCCTTTCTTATTTAATTGATTTCAAAAATTTCGTGATGTCTCATGTGTATATTTAGGAAATATTTCAGGTAAAAAGAAAACACAAGGATGCAATAGTTTACTGCCACTTGCTGTATTAGAAAAACAGGAACATTCTACCAACAATACTCATATTCAGTATTCATAGGCAATATTTCATAAAGCACAGAACTTTATACAGTAATTTATATTGCTCCCCATCTGCATACCTCCCATTTCTCTTCCTCTGCGTGTCCTTCTTGTGCATGTTTATACCTGTTTCTGCTGTGTATCTGTACTCAAACGTATTTCTAAAATGCTCATATCATTTGATACCAGATTTTCTACTTCTTTCACCTCAATTCTAGTTCCCTGATTCACATTGATGTAAATGTACTTAATATGCAAATGTATTTAATGTATCTTGATTATCTGATGGCATTCTTTTTCTTTGGCTGCCAGAGACATGCTGCTGGTGGTTATGGACATGTAATTGTGTATTTCTTACTATATTAAAGGACAGAAAAATAGCTCCAATTTTAACTCTTGTAAAGAATGTCATAATGAATAAACCTGTTGATATTTTTTGTGCAACTTTGCAAAAGTCATTTTATATTTTGACATTGGAGAGAAATAGCTAGGGTATATATTCTCAGTCTTAAAAGTTTATTAAACTTTTGTGGTCTCTAAAATCATTGCTAATAGAAGTATCATAAATTTCTAGAATTAATTGGAAAGTGATAACCATAACAGTTTATTTTAGGCTATAAAATGTTAAGGATATAGTCTATAACTAATATAAGAATACTAAAGGGATTTGTATGAATCTTTAACTAAGCACAAAACCAGAAAGACAAGAATGAATACAAAACATATGGGCTAAATAGAAAACAAATGTCAACATATTCAGAAATCTGACTATAAGTTAGAGATTCTGTGTCTTTACACAGAGCTTGGCACATCCACAGTGCATTCTTTAGCAGAAACTGAAAGAGAAATGAATTATATCACAGTTATCCTATACTTATTTGTATATTCATGATCAGTCTACAAAATGGGCGTTTATGATCTAAACTAAATGTATGTCATTATCCAAATAAAAAAGATCAATGGCACAGAATGGAGAGGCCCAAACTTTAGCTTAACTGACTTGAGGCAAAATAAGCTTGATGTACAGTGATATTACGTCAATAAAATAGTCACCTGAAAAAGGAAAATTTTTATTTCTATTCCCCCATATTGTGAAAATGCTAATTTCAGATGGATTGTAATATGAATGTAAAAACAATAAAGTGACACAGAATAAGAATATAAAAATATCATCATGCTAAGAGAAGACAAAGATTTCTTAAGGAGGGCACAAATCACAAGACCATAAAGAGAAAGAATGACAGTGGTATTAAAACTGAGAATATCTGTTCATTAACTATCAGCATAAGAGCACAAAAATGCAAGCAATATTCCTCAACAGATGTCAATGCAGAATGTGTAAAAATATCAACAGTATTGATAAATCATATAATTTAATTCTAAAATGAACTTGCAATGGTAGTCTATGACAGAGGATACCACCAGGTGGATGCTCACATGAGAATGTGGTCACAGACACAGCTCCACATTACATTTAGGGAATGTAATATAATCCCTGTGCAATACTATTATTTATTCGTGTAAAGGCTAACATAAAAAGGAGACAGATTGTGGCATGACTATGAATCAACGAACATCTCATTCATTGGTGTTGAGTATATAAGTAGGTTTAGTTATTTTATAAGACACTGGATAGTACCAAGTGAATTTAAACACGTACACATCTTCTGAGTCAGTGATTTCACAGCTAATTATATGCTAAACATAATTCTATTTTAGACAAAACTACAATTGCTTTCACTCATCAAGTCAAGATTATCTATATATGATGACTTTGAAAATCAATGAATCAAGACACATAATGAGTTGTGTACTTTTATGGGTACTATTGAAATATTGATGTTATTTGATATGAAATTTTGGGAATAATTTCAAGTCTTGTTTTACAGGCATGTAATTTCTTGGTGGTTCAGGTGTTTAATCATTACACTTTCAGTGTCCATGATTTTCCGTGCACTCTCTTGAATTTTCTTAAAATCCTTACAATCTTCTGCTTAGAAAATGCACCAATACTAGTTTTCTGCTTAGAATGGAATGGATTTCCCAACCTTCAGTTGTCTGATTCAAACTTAATCAACTGAGAGTCTCCTATAGGATATGGAAGAGGATTGAAATCGGTATCAAGCATTTTACAGAGTATCATCTAATGCTCCCATTTGTAGGTACATCTCACCCTTCTTTTTAGTGGTGCCTAGTATTCTTCCACATATGACATTATAGGGCAAAATAGTTTCTCCTTAATTTCCATATGTTGACTGACCAGTCTTCTGAAATATAAAAATTAATTCAAATTCCCAATATTTTATTGGAAACTATTAGCCACACTGTATACTTTTTATTTTCTATAAATATATCTGTAAATATCTACTTTACATAAAATATCCAAGTGTTTATTTTACCCTAACATTTTTCTAAGCACTAAATATTAATGCATTTAATTCTAAAATACTTATGATGGGGGTGTTAATATTTGTATACTTTATTTAATAGCATCAAAACATTTAGATTTAATTTTAAATATTCTTTACATTTATTTGTGTGTGTGTGTGTGTGTTCACGTGCATTTACATGTGCTTGCAACATCCTATGTGTGGCAATCAGAGGACAACTTGGAGGAGTTGTTCCTCTCCTACCATGGGTCCCAGGGACTGAGCTCAGGTAGTCAGGCTGGTGGACCGTTGCTTGTTTTTTCATGTTTATTTGCTGGACCATCTTGCTGAACCCAAACTGACATTCTTTCTTTAGCTTGCTCTAATCTATTAGTAAAGCTTTCAAATAAATTTGTTTCTTAAAATGGGGTCTAAAGTAACCCAAATTGTTCTTTAACTTGAACTTATTATATAGCTGAGGCTGGCCTCTATCACTTGACCCACCTGCTTTCACCTCCCGATTGCTGAGATTACAGGTGTGTACCACCATATCTGGCATGACTGGTTTTTATTTGACTTGTTACTGAGATTTTAATTTCTAAGGTTTATGTTATTTTTCAGAATCTGTCTTGAGTTGTTTTAACATATCCAAAATTATCTTCCTTAACTCACTTGTTTATATTGTTTTATATATTGCTTTTCTCATCCTCCCTTTTTATGCTGAAAGTTCCATATCAGTTGAGATAGTTCTTTACTTTTATTTAATGACCTTCATGGTATGTGATTTTACCTGCCAGTGTGACTTGTGATAATTGGTTTGTTATATAATGTTTAATTTATTTATAGTAGGGTCACATATTTCAGTTTTCTTCTGGTTCTTTCATTGTGATCAGGGTCTGGGACAGAGCTTACCATGCCAAGGTCAAAGTGACTCATTGCCTCTGCAAGTTTGAAAGAGTGGGTGAATTCTGGCACTTCAGGCAGATGTGTAGGCAGCAGGTGATGTGGGATGACACTCAATGGTTTGTCCTACTGTGAGAGTGCTAGCCCTAGAATTCTAAAGGCATTGTTGATAGTACCTCTGTTACTTGAAAGTGATTTTGATGTTGGTTACTGCATTCATGTTGAAGGCATCCCGAAGAGCCTATCATCTGTCCGATAGAAGGTAGTTCATGGTGAGGGGTGGGGACTGGAATCACAGCTCTTACTGTGTGAGGCCTCACCATAAGGCCTATCAGTCACATGCAGTCTGACCCACTACAGCTGTGCACATGATAAAAGACAGACATAGATGTGATCTTATCTATCATCATGTTTTTACTTTCTACTGATACTGTGTGAATATTTTCCTAGCTAGACCTCAGCTTCCCCTATCTGTACTGGTCTGGAAAGAGGTGAACAGGTGGGAGCCTACACTTCCCCCATTTCATTAAGTAGAACCCATCAGGGTTCAAGGGAGGCTGAGTTGTGGATTAAACTAACTTAATCCTTCTCATCTTGGTTCATAATATAGATCAGAGGCACAATACCTGTTGATTTGTGCAAGAAAACTGATAGGGATAGAAATACACAAAAAAGAATAAGAAGAGAGAGATAAACTTAATAAGGGTAAAATTAAGAAATAATGACGAGAAATTAAAATATTAAAATAAAAAATGTAGGAAAAAGTAAGTCCAAACATCTTCCTGGATAAAGTCTCTCTGAGTCTTCTGAAGTTGAAAGTTGTCAGGTTTCGGGCGGAGTCAGGTCAGTGGCAGAACACAGGTTGTGCCCAACATTAGACGGGTTAAGAAGCTGTACTAAGAGTGTGTTCTTTCGGGGCCTTTTGGTCTGCAATCCCCTGTGCCTGGCTAATGTCTATAGAAGAGCAAGCTTTTCTCACCACCTGAGTTTGGGAGGAAATATGGGTCACGATGAGTTAGTGAATATATATTAACTCTGAAAGGACTTTAGATTGTGAAACCTGGAACACAAGAAACATCCAAGCCAAGGGCATTCCTGGAATGCCTCTTCAGGTGAGTATGGACTTAAACCATCAGTAGATTGTGTCAGAGACATTGCCCCAAGCTATACCTGTCTCAACTTCTGTTGTGGCTGCTGCCTACCCAACTGATGTACTGAGATGTGCATGAGCCTGAAATGAGACATGCCAGGGTTTCTAATCCCCAGAGTGATTGAGTCCCTAATGGCAGCAGTTTTCCTCAAGATAGTTCTAACACTGAAATTTTCCCGGGAAGCTTACTTCTTTTCTGAAACTAGCTGGTTATCAGACTCCAGCTCCTCAATTAATTTAGGTTGTAGCCTACAGGATACAGCCTTCTGTACCATATCTTAACTTTCTTTTGCACTTTACCACCTAGGAGCAAAGAGTCCCCTTCTCCATACTAATGTTTTGGGTTCCAGGAGCCTGGGTATTTGTTGTCTTGCTCTGTATTTCTCCTTAGTTTGGAATCTACCAGTTTTATTTCCTGTGCTGTCAGTTTCTAGTATTCACACAGCTCTCTTCTGCGATCAGTTACAAATCTGTTGTTTCAGTCCCACAGAAGAGCAGATCTGCTGAGTGAGGGATCCCTGTTCTACAATCTACAACCTGAACCTAAGTTTGAATTTTATTAACTATGTGCTTTATTGTGCACTTTTCATACTTGTTCTTTCTTTTATCTATAATCTTTATTCCTTTCCCTTTTCATTTACTTTTTCATATTTATGGGACAATTCATTTTCCTGTTATTTATCTTTCTGGATGTTCTAATATTGCTTGTTTTGAAACTTGTGCCAGTTAAGCCTTTTATGTTATAACTTAATCTGGTGCTAGTGGGGGTTTTCTTATTTGTGTTTTGCTGTATTCCCATTAAATCTACATGCATTGCTCTACATTTGGTGCAGGCTGGAAAACACCAGTGCATGAATATACTGTATTATCCTCATCTGAGTATTTTCCATGCTTTTCCTCCTTTCCTCTTCTGCTTGCTTCTTTCTAATTACATATGCTTAAGTAGAAAAACCACACATTACACTAGCTATTCTGAAGTCCCACGTTATTGTAAGACTGTCCATAGTGTCCATCCATTATAGACCCAGTGAGTGGATTGGCTTAAGTATCATTCATGAGGGTGGCTGGAGAAAGCCTAGCATTTCAGTTAAGCCTGTTACAATAAGCCATAAATCCTGTCAGGAGAGCTAGGTAATAATAGATCTCAATTAACCAGCTTCCAACTTCTATTTAGCATGGACTAAGTACCTAGTTCATATTAGATACCATTAATGTATGGGAGTAAAACCACCATGACTGTCAAGTCTGACTGGCCTATGAGGGCTCCATCCTCTTTTACAGATTTGTATCCTTAGAAAGCTCAGATTTATTGAAATATTTATCACATTTTCATGTTTTTTTCTTGTGTTAGTTTAAAAATCAATGTCACATGCTTGAGTAAAGAGAATTGCGTCCATGTGCCATTTCGGAATACCAACTGATTACTTTTTAACTGTTTTTTTTTTCTCCTTTTCTTTTAGGAGTTATTTTAATTCCTGCAGGTGCAATTGGCTATTTTCTGGGAGGTTTAATTGTTTGCAAATTAGAGATGTCTTTTAAAGGGCTAATGAGATTTACATTGGTTACGTCTACTATATCACTTATACTTCTTATATTAGTCATGTTTGTACACTGTGAAACAGAGAAATTTGCTGGGATCAATGAAGATTATGAAGGGTAAATATATTTTTGAGTACTAGACATACTTCTTAGACAATTGCAATAAATCATTAACTTTATATATTTATATGAGTCTTGGAATTATTAAACATGCAAAAGCAATATAAAACATAGTTTTACCTTTCAGAGTAAGTGTATAAATATAATGCTACATGTTAATATGATTTATCATACATTCATTAAGATTTAGAATCTAAAAACAGAACTTTATGTTAAGGAATGTAGCAAGGAGGAGATGGTGTGAGAGCATGTTCTAAAGTAACTTGACCACGTGTTCTTGAATCAGTTTTGTGCTGTCTTTTTTAAAAAAAAGTTTGAGTTTTTGTACATTTCACACAATTCTTTATCAAATTTAGACGCCTCCATCCATGCTCTTCCACCCCCACCCCCACAACAGACCTAATTTTTCTGCTATACATGTTAAACCCTATCCAGTCAAGCCTTTGTACCCAGGTGTCCTTCGGTGCAAATTCATCCACTGGAGTCTAGTCAGCCTATCTAGAGATTGTTGGTATGGCCTATTCTCTCTCTCCCAATAGTGATTAGTCTCCAATAGTCCCCATACTAGGGCCAACCCATCACCCATTTCCCTCACTCCATTCTGGGCCCTTGTCTGATTGCGTTGGCATGGGTCCTGTGCTTGTTGCCACCATCGCCATAAGTTCATATGTGCAAGCTTCCAGTGACCTGAAAACCTCTATTTCCTATGTCAAATGAGGGAGTGGGATAAATGGATCTTGAGGGGCTAGGGAAACCAGAGGGAAATGTGTTATCCTGAAATCCCCTGAGAAATGCACACACAGCACCTGAATATTAGTCCATATGTATACATATGGCAAGGAACACAGTGCCAGACAGGAGAGATATTCCTTCAAGTAGTTTGTGCCTTCTTTTAGACATTAAAGAATAAATTAAATTAAATATGCAAAATATTAAAGAACTTGGCATGGATTAATATTAAATATTGTGCAACAGAAATGCAATTGGAAATCAATGAACTGAGAAAGTAAAACAATAAAAGAAAATAGTGCTTCTACTTCCAACTACAATGGAGAAGCTCTTGGCAGACTAAATATTCAGTGATGTTACTGGAACTATCCACAACTTTAAAAATCATGACTTTTTGTTACACAAATTTATTCATTAGAAAAAGTGATAAGTTCTTAGACATAGAAACAAAAGATATGATGTATAAATGAAAAAAACTGAAAAAATTATAAAAACTAAAATCTTTTTCTATACAAAGACCTATGTTAAAAGGTTATGATAGAGTGAATAAATATTTGAAAAATAAAAATTCAGAAAGTCTACAGTTAGAGAATTAATAACATGGTGGTTAAAAATCCTTGAGCAAGCTGGCCATGGCGGCACATGACTTTAATCCCATCCTGGGATACCTAATGAATTCTAGACCAGCTGGGGCTATATGCAGACCCTGTTTCAAAAACAAAACAGACAAATGAATGAATGACAGCAAAAACACTACATAAGATTTAACTTTTTTTTTACTCCAGCAAGAAAAAAATGGAAAAATAAAAACTCATGATTTTGTTTGCAAATTGAAAAATGAGATGCCACTTCTGAAATTTACCCAAGTCCACAAAAACATTAATGAGGAAAACTACAATGTCACTGACATGTATAAATTAATGGCTAAGCAAACAAGTTATAGTTTATATATTTGAATATTAAATATTATAAATAAGTCATTTATAAATTCATTTCAAAAGTTATTTATAGGACTGGAGGGATGGTTCAACAGGTAAGAGCACTGGCTGGTCTTGCAGAAGACCTGGGTTCAATTCCCAGTACCCACGAGGTGGCTAACAACCATCCATAATTGCAGTTCCAGGGGATCAGATGGCCATCTTCTGACTCTGCAGGTGTTGCATGACACGGGTGCACTTACACACATGCAGGCAATACAGTCATACACAAAGTAAAAGCAATAAATAAAATATTAAAAAATGTATAGGTAGATAGAAAACCAAAAGGTCATGAATGATTCATACAGTCCTTACAAGCAAAACAAAACCACAGAAAAGAAGGTGGCAGCCTCAACTACAAAAAAATCAAAATTTCTTGTGAAACCAAAATAAATAAGGTGTATCGTCTTCAGGAATACTTGGCTTAACATTTGTAAAACAAACCTTGGAGAAATGCTTCGTTTTAAAAACATATTCCTAAGAAATTTACTTATCCGACTGAAAATAAAATTGAAGACTTCCCTTCTTATATTACATATTGCTCCAGTTTACATAAGGCCTAAACATGTAAAATAAAACTTCAACTGCTTAGCAAAAAGTAGCAGAAAATATGTTTCACCCTAAAGTAAGATAGAATTTACTAAAGATAAAATACATAATTTTTTTTTAAGAAAAAGTTTATGTGTATGAATGTAATGCCTACATGTAAGTAGGTGCACCTGTGTCATACAATGCCTGTGGATGTCAGAAGAGGCAGCCACATCCCCTGGAACTGGAATTATGGCCAGTTGTTAACTGCCATGTGGGTGCTGGGAATCAAACCCGAGTACTCTGCAAAAGCAGGTGGTGCTCTTAACCACTGAGCCATCACCCAACCCAAAATACTTTAATTTTATAAATGACAAAAAATGGATAACTTACATTGAATTTACATGATGCATGGGAATGTGCACCTCTAATTTATAAAGTTTCCCCCTGCTGAGTGACAAAGCAGAGAGAAGGCTATGGAGAGATGCACCAAGAAGGTTTTCTGCTCAAGATCTAAGAAAACTGGCTGTTGGATTATGAGCCTTACTTATATTCTCTTGCGAATGCGTATAATATTTCATATTTTATTTAATTTTTTGAGGGAGGATTTCATGTATTCTAGGCCGGTCTCAAACTCACAGTGTAGCTAAGGATGACTTTGAACTTCCGAGCCTCTTATCCTCACCTCCGAAGCACCACTCTGGTTTATAGGGTCCTTGGTACATTTTGCTACAAATGACTCATGTATGACCAATAATCCCCGCTCAGTGTGGTGGCATGCCCTGGTTGTTATGGTAGCAAGTGACATAAAAAGAAAACGAGTATTGAACCACAGGAATTTAATTCTTTTTTTATTTCACTTAAGAAAGCTTTATGAGCCTGGTGTGGTGGTGTGAGCTCTGACTTTACATTTATCTTGGAGGTTTTATTTGGAGGGATTTTGTTTTCAACAACTGAAGCAATTATGTCATCAAGAATGTTCGGCATAGTCCTAAAAAAAAAAAAAAAAAAAAAAAAAAAAAGGAAAAGGAAAAGAAATGAAAGCTTTATGATGAACTTAGAAAATGGTAGTGAGGTAGTGCAGCACTTCATGGTGTTGAAGAAGCATGTTCTTTCAGAGCTACAATGCATTTTTTTCAACTCCTCTGTCACCTTAAGATGCCACTTCATTAATTGCAAGTATTATATCATTCCAGCCACTATAAGATAAGAAAAGATATTAAGAACAACTTCACAAATGAAATATACTGATATAATATGTTGACCTGGTTTAAGACATATGTCCACACTATATGTTGGTTTATGTTTATTCTGGTCAGCCATGTACTAAGTAAACCTGAGGTAACTTTGTTATAAAAGGAAGGAACGGAATTTGGTATGTTTGTCAGGAGTGTTCCATTATCCTTCAAAATTATTATATTATTTTAAAATTAAAGTTATTTTAACTTATACATCAAAACACTAAAAATGTTTATATTAATTGGGTTACCCTGTGATGTTTGAAGACATGAGAATTATAAACTATATGACCCAACATGAAGACGAGCCAAACACAAACAAAATGACATTAAAACTAAAAGAAGTGATGGGCTGTAGAGGTGGTTCAGTGGTTAATTTTGCAGAGACCTGGGTTTGATTCCCAGCAATAAACTCATACAGAAAAAAATAAAAATAATAAATAAAACATTTTTAAATCTAAAAGAAGTGGACTCCAATACCATATTTATTGGACATTTAAAAACCCACATTTCTTGAAGTACAGAGGGCCCTGAAAAATCAAAGAAACACTTGAAGTAATGTATTTTGCATAGTATGTGACCCTCATAGACATTATAGGACATTTCGTCCAATGCCTAATAAAACACATTCTTTTTATCAGCATAGGGAACACTCTTTAGGATAGTCCAAGCATTAGGTCACAAAACATGTCTCAACATATCTTAAACAAATTAAAAAAATGAAATTGTATGTATCCATTTTGACCACAAATAGTGTTAGAAATTAACAAGATGGACAGTGAACAGTATGCAAATAAATCAAAAGTCAGTTGTAAGCACATTAACAATTAATAGAACAACAAAACAAGTTGGAAGACAAATTAAAATTTCTTGAAACAAATGAAAAAGTAGAAAAAAATACTAAAACCCTATAGTATGCAGTCAAAGTGCTAAGGGACGAGTCTATAGCAATGAGCAACTACATCGTAAATACAGAAAGACTTAGAAAAGACCACCTAAAAATAAAATCAAAAGATCTAGAATAGGTGCAAATTAATAGACATGAAGGAAGTATAAATACCAGAAAGAAATTAATGAAAATGAAACTTTAAAATACAGGTCAATTTTTTTTCTTTTTAAAAAGATTTACTTTTATTTTTGTTCATGTGGATATGTATCTGTGTGTCTTTCACATGTATGTGGGTGCCTGTGGAGGCCAGAAGAAGGTATCAGATACCTGAAGTGGCAACCAGTTATGAGCTACCACACCTGGGTTCTGAACTTAGGTCTTCTGGAAGAACAGTAAGAGTTCTGATGTACTGAGTATTCTCCAGTCCCCAGAAATTTAATTTAATGCAAAGTTGCTTCTTTGAAAAAAATAAACAAAATTGCTCATCATTTGCCTAAATTAAGTAAATAAAAAAATCCAAGTAAATAAGATTAGACATCAAGGAGAGACATTATAACAGATACCAACGAATCCCAAAGGACTAGGGAGAAGCAACTAAAGGCAATAATGTTGCATCAACGTGTAAAAACATCTTAAAATTATGAGAAAGCAATCTCTTTAGCTGTAGTTACAAAAAGAAAATAAATTCTCAAGAATGAATTGAATAAAGGGAATACATGGCTATTACAATGAAAATTATAACTATGTAATGAGTTCCAGGACAGCCTAGAGTAAACAATGAAACCATATCTCAAAAATTTTTTGAAAGGAAAAATTTATTAAACCTTGATGAACTAAATTGAGGTACAGAGTAGATCAGTGGTTGCCAGAGGTCAAGAGGGATGTGAGAATGAGAGGTGGATGGAGAAAAGATGGTAAATGGATATCAGGATTCAGGTGTACAGGAGGAATAACTTCTAATATGCTGTAGCACAATAAGATAATTGTGGGTCATAATTTTAATATTTTCAAAAAAAATACTTTGTTTCCAAATATAAAGAAATGATAAATATTTAAGGTGATGAATATTCCAATTACTTTAATCTCATTATTGCATATTATATATTTCATGTATTGAAATATCATACTACATAAATAATAAGCAAGGAAGAATCATCACAAAAATGTTTCTTTGTTTAACAAAGAAAAATAATTGATATAATAGTCTATGCTTAACAAACTAAAAATGAAAATACAACACATCCACCACACACACACATACACACAGATAGCTGCAGAAAGTCACTTGATAAAATACAACATCTTTCTGAGGAGATGTAACTGTTTTACAGCACATAGGAAACTGAAGCAGGAGGAATCTAGACTTGGAGCCAGACTTGGCTACTTTGAATGTTCCGATCAGCTTGGGCTGTAGTGTGGGGACCTATCTCACAAATGAAAGACAGAGAGAAGAAAGGAAGGAAAGTAGGAAGAAAGGGAGGGAGGGAGGGAAGGAAAGAAAGAGAAAGAAGGAAAGAAGAAACAATGGCCTAATAATTGACTACAATGATTGTGCATGTACAAAATTATACTAAAAACCATTGAATGGTATACTTTAAATGTGTAAGAAAACTGTTTTTGTTTTTGTTTGTGCTTTTTTGTCTTTTTGAGACCGGGTCTCCTTGTAGTCCCAGCTGTCCTGGAACTCACTGTGTAGACCAGGCTGGCCTTGAACTCACAGAGATCTGCCTGCCTCTGCCTCCCAAGTGCTGGGACTACTGTTATTTTAAAGCATTTAATATACATTCTTAAGAAGTTCTAAATTAAGAAACATAGAACTTGAAGTGTAGTACTTCACTTTGTTGTGGGAATGAATACCTTAAACCCCTGTGTTAGGTGGAGCTTTGAAGAGGTAATTAGACTTAGTTGAGCTCATGAGAATGAAGATCCCATGATCAAATTACTTTCCTTGTAAATAGAAGTGACCAGAACCCTCCCCTTTACTTCACGTGAGGATCCACTGAGAAGATGGGCTTCTATGATCTAGGAAGAGGGTGCTCATTAAATATGGAATTTGCTCCTCTGACATCACCAGAAATAAATGTATTGTTGAAGAAACATAGCCTCAGACAGTTTACTAAAGTAGACAGAGTACACTAAGAGGATGAAACACTAAATGATCAGAAACTCAGAGTTGTTTTATTTGCACATTTTACTGGAGGTTTTATTCATTAAAATAATTAACAACAACAAAAAAAGGGCATGCAATCAGGTAAGAGGCAGTTTTGAATAAAAATATCCAGGTAAAACTGTGCTTATTTGAAGACAGTATGATTATTTATGAATAAAATTAAAAAGGCATTAGAACTAATAAACTAGTGGACATGGTGGTGCCTTTAATTCCAGCACGTGGGAGGCAGAGGCAAGTGGATTCTAGTCCAGCTGGAGCTACGGGGATACCCTGTCTCAAATAAAAGACCAAAAAAGAAAAAAAAAAAACTAATAAACTAAGCACAATTGTACAAGACAAGAACAATATCCATGAATTGATGCTATTCTATGACTGGACTTGTAGGTTTTGTAGGATATTGATTAAGCACTTCTCTAATGAGCATATATCTCTGAGTTATAATCCCAGGGTAAAATAAATAAGAAGAAAACCTACAACAATAGTATATATGCTACCTACAAACAATTAGAAAAAAACACAGAAGACAAAATCTGTAATAAATAAATTGAAGTTGTTTTCACATATTACCTAAAAACAATTATAAAAGTATACTTAAAATATTATTACAAATACCATAAAAAATGAAAGCAAATTATATACTGATTATTACAATATAATACTGAAAGAAATTAAAAACCTGAAGTTTTTAAAAGAGCGGTATCCCATTTCATGAATTGAAAGATTGATTTCTATGAATATTTGACTCCCTGTTAAATTGCTGATAGGTATTCAATGTAATTTGAATGAAAATCTGAGCAGGCTTTCTCTTTTAGATATTTCTAATTTTTATTGTATTTGCCATTTTTATATTGCCAGTGATATGCAAACGACCTAGGAAAGCCAACAAATTTTAAATAACAAGCATAGAGGACAAACTGTATTTGCTTTCAATACTCATTGTAGCACTGTTAATGAAGAGAATGATTAAAAAGACATGAATGGAAAAGAATGTAGAGTCTGCATAAATAGACTCACATGTATATATGGAAGGTTGATTGTTGGCAGGGTGCATATGCAAAGTAGTGGAGAATACAGAGTCATTTAAAAATTCTTCTGAGATCATTAGACGCCTAAACAAACAAATGAACTTGAATCCCTACCTTGTACCATGCCAAGTAATTGAAATAGACCAAGGATATAAATGTGAGATATAATACTTTAGAAATACAAGAGTTATTCTTTTTGATCTTGAATTTGGCAAGTATTTCTTTCACATAACATAAACTCATAATCCAGAAAGAAGTAAAATTATAAATTAGGCTTTATCACAATTAAAACCTGTTTTTTTTTCAAAGACTTTAAGATATAAGAAAAACAAGCCACAGAGTATATAAAGGTAGTTGAAAATCATGTGTACAAACCAAAGAACTTGTTTCCAAAATATTTAAATAGGCACATTTTATGGATCTCATTGATATCTTGATATACGCATTAATAACTTTAAATGATGTGCTATCATTGTATTTAATCTCAACTTTGCAGAACAGGCCAGTTGGGAAACTTCACGGCTCCTTGCAATGAGCACTGCAGTTGTACAAGCTCTGTCTATTCTTCTGTATGTGGAAGAGATGAGGTTGAATATTTCTCTCCCTGTTTTGCAGGCTGCATAGCTTCTAAAGTTATAAACAACGCAAAGGTGACTTTCATAATGCTCCTTCCTTTCCAGTAACACATTCAACTTGTGGACAGTGATTAGATTTTACTCCTGGCTCTCTCAAAAATTTTTCCTTCTTATTTCCATTTTTAATTTTAGCAACAAAGAAAGAAAACCTACTGCATGTTTTCATATTACCAAAGGGTTATTTATGGGAATTGGGAGTGGAAGAAATACTTGTACATTAAAATGGGCCTTGCTGAATTACCTCCACTGTTTTTTTTACTAAAATAGTGAGTGGCTGTTATCTACCTCTAATAACTGAAAGGAGAAACAGTTTGTGAGAAACTGGAGTAGAGCAGTGCTCTCCTGTAAGCCACCTTAAACTCCCTTCTGCCAAGGAATTCAAAACGCCTGCTCTGTATCGTGTTGCTGTCTCTATTCTACTCCACGTTAACTCTGATATGGAGAACGTTTTTATTAAGTGGGGGTTGACCCTGTGCTCTACCACTCAGCTAGATCCCTAGCCCCCAGTTCTTTGATTGTACACCATATTTTACCATACATACAAAACTCCATGCAAAGCATAGCAGACATTCTAGAAAAGTGTGAGATTTAGAGGAGATTCGTGTGACAAAAATTTGACAACTTCCCTGAAGCGAGTCTACCTAAAGACACCTCTCATTGCATATCTGGTGGTATTGCCAACAAATTTCCTATTTCTTGAACTGCTACCACCCAGATCTCATTTTTTTCCTATTCCTTATTCTGTTCCAAAGAGCATTAGACTGCCCTGCCACTTGTCAAAGTCTCTGAAGTTCTTTTTTGAAATTGTGTGTGTACATGTGCACTCCTGTGCATGTGTATGTATGTTTGGATGCATCTGTGTGTATGGGTGTGCATGCATGTGATAGCTAGAGGACAACCTCTGGTGTCATTCCTCAGGAGCAATCCACGTTGTGTTTTGAGAAAAAGTGTCTCACTTGCCTGGTGTTCCCAGTGTACGCTATGCTGGCTACTCAGTGGGCCAGGGGGATCCTCATATCTCAAACTCCCCAGAAATGTGACTATGAGTAAACAGCCATTCATGCCTTTTTATGTGGGTGCTGGGAATCAAACTCAGATCCTCATGATCGCAAAACAAGCACTTTACTGAGTTATCTCCTCAGTCTCTAGGTTACTATTTTATATTTGAGGTTGCTAAGCTTTTTTGTTGTTGTTTTGTTTTTTCTTTCTGCTGGTTTTTGTGATGGGAAGACAACAATATGCAGGTGTATTTACTGATTCTTAGGTATTATATCAACACCTGTAGTAGGTCTATAATTTAATGTTATAATGAAATTTTTTTATCAAACATAAATATAAAAATATTTATACAACTTATAAAAATAATTCTTAAATTGTATATGTTAAAATTATATTCTAAGTCTTTAAAATATATTATAAAGGAAGGGTAAATTTAAAGCATAATGAACTACCATGTACAGTTTTCCATTTTCAAAAATGAAGTTGATGGCTTCTTGATTCCCCTGCAGCCTGAGCACTTCCAATCTCCCCTCCCCCATATCTCCATTCTAACCTTGGGCCCAGGCCCACTCCTGCTCTTCTGCCTCGGATCTCTGTACTATCCTCTTAGCCCAGATCTGCCCACTGTGTCCTGATCCCTGGCACCAAGACTAGGTCAGTTCTCCAATTTCCTTTGTTAGACTCTCCACAAACTATAACCACCCATGTCTTGCTCTTGGCCCCCACCTGATCTGCCTACCACAGAACCACCAGCTACCCAGACCAACCTAGGAACCTGCAAGAACATGAAGCACATACCAACTAACTTCATAACAGAGCAAAAAGCAACCAAGCTACTTCAACAATCTAAACAGAACCAAAATTCAAAACAAAGGCAGAATAGAATTTCCTATTGGACATACAACCAACAACAACAACAAAATCCATGTGTGCAAACAGTAATGCAAAAACAGAAATAACAAGAAAAACCAGGAGAATATATCCACAACAAAACCCACCAGTCCTATAGAAGTGTATTACAATAAGAGTCACCCTAAGGAACCCCACTAATCAGAATTTAAAAGAACAATCATAAACATGATCAAAGAACTTAAAGAATGCACAAAGAAACAAAGACTTCAAAGAGTATAGGTATAAACCTGTGACAGAAGTTCAAGAAGATACAAATATGTGGCTGAATGAAATAATAAAAACAATAAAGGACTTAAAAAGTGAATTCACAAAAGAGATTAAAATATTGAAGAAAACCCAAGCTGAAATGAAGATAGAATTGAAAAACTCAATAAGCCACTTTGAAACACAGGAGGAAGCCTCACAAGTAGAATGAATGAAATGGGAAACAGCATATCAAGACTGGATAACAAAGTTGAAGAACTGTATTTCTTTAGCAAAGACTATGCAAGAACTAAACAAAATAACAAACAAACAACAACAGCAACAACCAAAATCCCTCGCAGGAATGGAAATGTGGGATACTATGAAAAGGCCAAATACATGTGTGATAAGCATACAGAATGGAAAAGAATCTCAGGACAGTGGCATTAACCAAATCTTCAACAGGATTGTAGAAGCCTAAATTAAGGAAAGACATGCCTATACCAATTTAAGAACACCAACTAGACAGGACCAGAATGGAAACTCCCTATGGAATATCATAGTAAAAACAGTAAATGTACAGAACAAAGCGAGGGCACTGAAAGCTGCTAGAGAACACAAGTTACATATAAAGGAAAACCCATCAGAATCACAACTGACTTTTCAATGCAAACTATGAAAACAAAAAGAGCCTTGACCAAAGTATTCCCACTTCTAAACAACCATGGATGCCAATCCCAAATACTTTATCCAACACTACTATCATAGTTGAAGGGGAATGGAAAATTTTCCTTGACACAGATATGGCTGAAAGAGTTCATGTCCACCAAATGAGCCCTACAGAGAATACTTGAAGCGTTACAAAGAACCAAAGATTCTACAATACTGCTGTGCCTACCTGGAGCCAAGAAAGACAAGCCCACTTTTGTTGTAGCCTAAAAATTAAATGATGGCTAAATTTGTTTTCTCTCTCTGTCCAGAAGCCATTTGAGAGGGAATTGACACCAATTATAGCCACTCCAACAGCTATCAAAGCACCTGCAAACAAATCCTGAGTTCATCACTCTTCAGTCCAACCTTGATATCAAAAGAAAAATGAGGAGGAACCCAATAGATAGATGCTTTTGGAAGATCTTGTCAAGAAATTTCAATGGACTTTAATTTGGACATTTGAAATTTGCCCTGTTCTTACTTTTTTCCGGTTCCCTATCCAGAACATGTAATGCTAACTACTCTTGCCTTTACTTCTCCTTCACATCTCCTAGGCACCAGTCAAGGACTTTCTTTCCATACAGTTAAGAGTTATGCAATTTGGGAGCCTTTCAGATAAAAACCACTGAAGGGGTACCCCAATTACCACACCTTGTGCCCTTAATTCAACATTTAAGAGGCCAGAGTGGTCTATGTCCCAATTCCCTATTAGCAATTTAGGTAACCTCTTCAGAGGGTGGTATGATAAGAACAGGAGGTAGAAACTGGCTAGGTAGTTAGGGTAAAAAGACCCCAAAGAAAAGTAGCCAGTTTCTTTCTTGACTAAAAGTCAAAATGTTCTTGGGCCTTTTTGTAACATACTCTGTTACAAAGGCCAAAAACATCAAAAGTACTTGGGAGCTCTTATCTAATCCCTAAATGATTTTAGGGGTACCTCTTCAGCAGGGGGAAAGTTAGAGTAGCAAAAAGCCCCATAAGTTTAACTGGTCAAGACTATAAAATCTAGTCTATCTGTTGGAAGACTCACCTTTCCAGTTTCACTGGTCAATCATCTGGTCATAGGACCACCCCAGGAAGGCAGATTCACCTTAAGTTATGCTAAATAGATGGGCAGAATACGTAGTGCATTAATGAGAGAGTGAATTTTTTCCTACCTGGAATCCTGTCTCCTAGAGCAGAAATTTGGGACCAGCCACAGTCATGTAGTCTGTAATTCTTCCTTTCTTCCTCATAGCCCTTTTCTAAACATGCTTTCTTTAATGCTTTGGGTTGTACTAGCATCTTGTATTTCTTTACTTTTTCTCTAAAGCTTCCTACTCCCACCCATGCAGCTGCCAGTCAGCCATGTCTGACCTTTATGCAGGCTGTAAATCTGCATTGTTTCACGGATTTTTGTTTCCTTCTCCCCACCATTCTCCTCAAAGCAGCTGCTAAGATGACCAGCTCACCTGCCCTAAGACGGTTCTTAAAATTCTAATAAAATAGTAAAAGCTTCAAAAAACAAAAACAAAACAAAAAAACAAAATCAAAGCAAGCAAGCAAACAAACAAACAAACCAAAAACAAAGGACCAAAGATAGGAATGACTATATCCAAGGTTCGAGAAAGAAAACAAAGGAAGATATAGTTATGGAAACACAAAGTAGGACAAGGAACACAAACAAAATAAAATGACAGTAACCAATACACACCTTTCAATAATAACTCTAAACATCAATGATCTCAGCTCCCCAGTCAAAAGACACAAGCTAGTGAATTAAGAAAGAAAATCTGAGGTTGGAGAGATGGCTTAGCAGTTAGGAGCACTGATTGCTCTTGCAGAAGACCCTGGTTGCCAGTACCCACATGAAAGTTAACAACTGTCCTTAACTTCAGTTCCAGGGGATTGAATGCCCACTTCTGACCTCTGAGGGCATTGCACAACACGAGTGTACTTACAGATATGTAGACAGTACAGTTACACACATAAAATTTAAAATAATAAAATATTTTTAAAAGACAGAAAATCCATCTTTTCATTATCTTCAAGAAACTCATCTCATCTTCAAGAATAGACTCTACCTTAGGGTGAAAGAATGGGAAAAATATTTCAAGTAAATGGCACTAAGAAGCAAGCAGGTGTTACAATTGTAATATCTGACAAAATAGACTTCAAGTTAAAATTCATCTGATAAAGAGGGAAAAGACAAAGAGGGTCCCTTCATTCTAATC